CGACTGAGCTAACCAGGCGCCCCTTTGTAGTCCTTATTGACGAACCAGTTCCCATATCTTGTTAGATCCCTCATGGAGTATCCTGCTTCCTTCAGCTCTGCTCTCATTCTGTCTCCTGTTAATTCAATTACAGTAGAGGATGTAGCATAAGCTACACCGGACTGTAGCTTTGGGATTTATGGTAGCCAAACCAAAATATACATGAGACTTTGCTAAGAATCAGATCAAACATTCTGGTCTTCGCTGACTTTGTTCCTTAACCGACAATGTCTATGTCTCTTTCTTTCCTCTCAGATGTGGAGTTACTGTCGATGGACAGCACCAAGGCCAGTTGCTGGGTGAATAATAAGCTGCGAGCCCACGAGGAGCAGTGGAAAGAGGACGACTGCACCTTCTGCCAGTGTGTGGATGGAGACCCCCACTGCACGGCTATGGCCTGCAAACAAAGCTGCCAAAACCCTGTCAAAATCCCTGGAGAGTGCTGTCCCTTCTGTGAAGGTATAGAGGGTTGTGTTGGTCCTTTTATCCTATCGAATGTATAGCTCATATCTATATAAGGTACACATTAGCCCACATACCACATGTAGGAGGCTCCTGTGGCCCCACAGCTTTGCTACAGAGGCCATGTCGGCATGGGCTCATTAAAGGGGAGGCCACGGAGCATTCTTCGAGCTGCAGGGTTCTTTGTGTTCCTTTATTACCGTTGCCCGCCAAAATGAGACCCACCTGTGTGTGAGGCTTTTAAAGCAGGAGGCTGCATAATTGAAGTGGACCCCTTTTTTTTGTGAGCGTAATTAGTTACAGCTCGTTGGGCTGCTCCTCCCACCGAACGTGGCAAGAGATGTTTGACGGGAATAGCTGTGGCACATGCACGTGTGTTGTTCCAAACTATGCTCATTTATTGTGGCTTCACAATAAAGCTGGCCCTGATTCAAGAGGGTCTGTGCTGGAGTCTGACTTCGGTCCAGGGGATACTCTGTTATCTTCACTGGTAGTTCTAGAACTAAAACATCCTCTTTAGACACATTCAACTTATTAATGGGAGACAGTTCCACACAATAAGACAGAGAGGTATAATCCCCCTTACAGTGCGACCCACCCTGGTGTAATTGCTCTACATTTATCTGTAATTACTATTTACTCCAAAATAAGAGCAGTGTAAATAGGTAGCTATTACAGTTGGCACAAAAAGCATCGGTATTACACCTGAGGGGATCCTGGCACACATATATAAAAAACAGTAAGAAATTCATAAAATAAATGTTCTTTGATGTATACTTTGAATGATTTTGCTCTGGTGCAAAATTCTTACCCTCCATCATCTCTTTTGTTCTCTAGAGCCTTCTTACGAAACAGTTAGCCCCATGCTGTGCCCTCCCTTGGAAAACTGCTCCTTGTCAGGGAATGACTGTCCCTATGGTTTCCAACAAGACAAAAATGGATGTCTGCTCTGCCAGTGTCTTAGTAGTAAGTTCACTCTTCTCATTTTATGTTGAACCTAAAGGGTTAAAAGTCTCAGGGACTCACTTGCAGAAGCATGAACATGATACATTTCTTCTGGCATGCTGCTTCTTGCAGGTTTGCATTGAAAGTGGTGTACATACAACACTGTATTTACCTGTTTGCTCATGCTGATGTCAAACAAATTTGGTAACCTCTTGGTTTTGACAGCAACAAAGACATGCTCATGTTCATGACAGCTTATTTGTGTTGATGGCGGTAGTCTTTGCAAGGTTCTCTGTCACAAGAATGTTCCTGTGAGCAGCCCTCGTAGCAATTCATGCCTTTGCCTTTGATGGATTGTTGTGCCAATGATTGGATGACCTCTCCCTCAACTCTTTCAGATGACTCCTGCCCTGACCTGGGTAAATACTGTTCCCTGCAATGCCCAATGGGATACGAGAGGGATGACTTTGGCTGTGAGGTGTGTGAGTGCAGCATCCCCATGCCCAAGTGCCGACCTTTGACCTGCACTAAGACCTGCCCCTATGGATATGTGTAAGTACACTCAGTGAACCCGGGTGTTTCTCATCCCTCAAGTCCACCTACACTCATTTGTTATGCGTGTTTTCAGTCTGTTTAAAGGCATCTGTGGCTGTCAGTGACGTGACACGCACATATATGAGAAAACTGTACACTTGGCTCTTACATGCTAGTTATCTTTGGAAATTCTGTTATGTCCTTGAGAGGTGATCAGTTTCGTAATGGACAATGTACAGCACATGTATGGCTCTTTTCTCCATAGTTTCTTGGGTAAATGGTTTTCAAGTGATGCCCAGAAGCCATTGCCTGTTTAGTCATGGTCAAAAGGAAGCTGAAGAGGCATTTGCAACAGTACAGTAGTTTAGCATCCCAGATCAAAGGGCCTACCTTGGTGGCCAGTCCCAGGTCTCTAAATCTGTGTGTGAGTGTGTGTGTGCACGGTTGTGTGTGAGTAATTCACTGTGAGGTCCTCACAAGCCTTTCAGCCCCCTGCAACCCCTCTCATCCTAATCCCATTTAACCCAATCAAACATCTGGAAGTGCTCTCTACCGGGACGCTTGGTCCCCAGGCACCACTCTCATTTCATAAATCATCGTTCCGTCTCAAAACAACGATCAAAAACACATCAGGACAAAAGCGGCCTTTATGAAACATATACAGTTGGGATTCTTCTGGTATCTCAACCATGCTCTCTGGAGCCACGGCTCAAGATGGGCCCGATATGTCTGCACATGATGCCAGAGGAGAGGAGAGGAGAGGAGAGGGGATAAGGGGGACCGTGTGGGGACAAGAAGAGCAGGAAGTTCTGGCTTTATCCTTCATAAGCAGCTGTTTAGGTCTACCCTCAGAAGTCAAAAATCCTCTGAGAGCTTGCCAGCCTTACAATGCAGATCTCTGTCTTCTTGCACAGGATCTCTGCATGCATCCACCACAAAGAAACAAAGGACACAAAGGATCTCTGTGTTTATACTGTTTGTATTGATGACATCCTATGAGTACTGTAATGTACATTTATAAAACAGAAGGCACAGGCCTCCAACACAGGATGAATGTAAACCTTGTAGACTATGTGTAACCATGTGTTGAACACTCCTCTCTTGTGTTAACAGTCTACATGAAGGACATTTTCAGGGCAGTTCTTACGACTGAAGTTGTGTTTTCAATCCTTCATAGCTCAAAATCATCACTGTGACCTCACAGGTCATGAATGGCATTCTTCTGGCCATCACAGTTGCGGCACACTGGAGATTGTGCCGAGCCAGCAGTCCCATGGCCGGGGGCCCCTAGTGCCTCCCCAAGCCCCTCTATCCCCCTGGAGCCCAAAGCGCTGCTTGGCATTCCAAACACCATCTTTAAACAAAGCCTTGCTCTAAGGTCGCAGCACTCTCTGTCTCTGTATTTGTACAGTGAGGCACTGGCCAAACCCTCACAGTGTTGTTTCAATGGCTGTTATTGCTGTTTCAGCATAGATAGGGTGCTTTGTTTGCTGAGCCTGACATGCTCTGTCCTCTTTATGGGACACAGCATCCATCCATGGGTTCGAGAGGTTCTTTTATTTATGCTGCCTTAGCAGATAAAGATTAATCGAGTAATTACCTGGGCCTAATGAGGCCACTGCTTCATAAAATAGGTATCATCACTTACCTTGAAGGAGAGAGCGAGGCTAGCTGGTTGAGAGAGGATGAATGCAGACACAGGGGTAGAGATTCTGGAACGAGTGTTAGATACTGGCCATTCTTTCATCTGGGTTTTGACAATTTATCAACCTGCAGCTCATTCATGTTTTATTAGGCAGATAATTGGATCCAACTGGCCTATTTTGAGCCTCTGCAGCTTCTGCACTTCATACTGCTGCTTTCTCTTTGTATGTGAAGATATCTGTTAAATGTGCTTTGTTCGGACAACTGAACTCTTTTGTTTCTGGTCAGTTTAAGTTACCTGACCATCAGGAGGCCGTATCCCATTCTCTCTTTTCTGTCTTGTTCTATACTCAGCAATCAGCATGCCTACATTAGCTCTTGTCTAGCTGCTCTTTGGTGCTCCTATATGTCCGCAAAATCTGAACTGGCTTTAGATAGCTCCACCCAGAGCCTTTGGGTCGTTATGATGTGCAAACCAAAAAGATCTCACATGTTGGCCTTTTATTTGGCCTTCTTTAAAGGGCAGCTAACAAAAAGAGGGGAAAGCAGGTCCAGATGTTGATTATACCAGACTTGAGCATCTGGGTTTCACTCAATCACAACACCATGTTGCTCTAGAGAGCTTGTGTGCTTCCTGGCATTCTCGTCATGTAATTGAGTTTTATATGTGTGTGCTTCATCATGTGTTTGTTTGTTGCCCCGCAGGAGGAACAAGCATGGCTGTGAGATGTGCCGCTGTGTCAAGTGTCCTCCCTTCACCTGTGACAAGCACTGCAGTGACGGCTATCGACAGAACAGGAAGGGCTGCTCCATCTGCATGTGTAAAGGTAATTGAGCCCTGGTATAAACATCACCTACAGTGGAATGGTGGCAATATTCCAATATATCTGACTGAATAATACCATAGAAGCATTAACTTGACAATAGTTTGGGGAGGATTTTTTTTGGTGCTTTCACCAGATAATTACCATGTAGGTAGGGCCATTCATTGTTTTTTCAGTTAGAAAAAATCAATAGGCCAGTTGAGAGATAAAATACCCTTAACAAGCCCACTCCAATGTTGTAAGAGATACACGCAGGGTCCCCAAAGGATGATCCTTGATCTTGACTTTCCCTCTGCTAAAATCTGTCTCAGGCCAAAATACATCACATTTCTCAATATCAAATAGGGAGACTATCTTGAAAATTACAATCAGTATGTATATTAGGAGGCTTTTTAACCACTATCTTGATATCGTATATTGATATAGTTACCTCTTTAAAGTTATCCATCAAGAGTTCCCTTCTGATTCATAACTACAATTCCACCCCAAGGTCTTAACTGTAAGCAGTACAAGGTACAGGATGTAAGGAGATAGGAGAGCTCTGTTAGTAGAATTAAATGTCTGCCGCTAAGCTGCAGCTTTGATTTCCTGTGACCTTCTGCTGCTCAACTGTGGAGCCTTTTATGTGTGCTTGTTTTGGTTCTTGTTGGTGTTTTAGCTATATCCAGGGGCTGTTGGTGCACCTCTAATTTGATTCCCTCAACCCCTAAGTTTAAAGCAAGTATGCAGATGCCATATTTATGCTCCACCACATTTTATGTGATGTGTTGATTTTGCCAGTTTAGTTGTATTATAAATATTTCAGCCTGAAATATCCTTGGCTGGTTTTCCTGTATGGTGAGGAGATCAGTGCAGCTTATTCTTCGTCTCCACAAACAGAGCAGTACCTACTTCAAATAAACTTCTGTTTACCTGATTCTGAAACTCTTATATCAGCCTCTCTGTGGACTCTTAAAATATTTAGGGATAGGAAACTTTTATTTTGGCAGTATGTTTTTTAAAGTTTTACATAAAAAAGAAGAGACATCAAAACACATGCCTGAACTCTGAAACGTCGCACGGTTCACTGTGTTCAGCTTTTGTTCCACATCCCAGCGGATCTCTACAAGCTTTAAGAGCCATGCTGAGTTAATACATGCTGGGGCCCGGTTACTGGCAACTTGGGCCCTTTTTATAAGGTTTATGTCTCCCTTTTAGTTTTTTTTTGTCAGTTGACAAAAATTGTGGGAAACTCATTAAGCTTTATTTGTGGCTGGATTATGAATTGGCTATTGGTGAATGTTCCAGTAGACTGAACCATAACCACTTAGCTCTTACTTCACTCCAAATGAAACTGGACCTAAGACACTAATACTGGCCCTTTTTACTGTAAATCATAAATGTACTTAATGAAATTTCCACTGTGAATTTACAAGGTTCCTTGCCAGAGCAGGCTACGTTGCTTTTTCAAATTTTTTGCACCACTATTCTACAAGTCCTTAGCCACCCCAGTGATGTCTGTGCCTTTCATGTTTGTGTCTCTAGAAAGTGGCCATGTCCCAAGCACCACTGCCCCGGCCCCAATGCCCAGCTATTGCCTCACCTCCAACGGGCACCGATACGAGGAAGGTGACGGCTGGCACGATGGTTGTCGCGACTGCTACTGCCACTCCGGGCGGGAGATGTGTGTGCTCATATCTTGCCCTGTGCCCAGCTGTTCTCATCCAGTTGTAAGGCCTGACCAGTGCTGCCCTACGTGTGAAGGTATGTCTCTGCAATTCAAACATGACTTTATTTCAAATTCCATTGTAAAAAGTCTTGGTAATGATAACTTATTTTGGTAGTTTTGGCCATTATTCTCACTTTCACGACTTCATTGCCATGTTACCAGATCTCAGCAATTACTTAGTGAGTACAGTGTTACAATAGCTAATAAGAAAAATGGCAAAAACTATAAAAATAAGACCCAAGGTTTATTCAACTGGAATAATCCTTTAAAACAGTTTTTTTCAATTGAAAAAGAAAAACTGGTATAAGATTACTTTGACTGTTTCTTGTGCAGTTTCACTTTCTTCTGAAGTAACACTGAATCAAGGCCACCATTCCACGTCTCAATATACAAAAAAAACAAATGTTTTAGGACGGACTTTGACACTCAGTTACTTGCTAGAAATGAGTTGCAATTAATACACACGCTTGCTTGCACACACACGCACACATCTGGCAACACACAGTATACAGTCCCCTGACAGCCCATTCACCCCAGAGCTTTGGATCATTAGCTAGCTTTTAGGCTTTAGACTTGCTGGCCACTTAAACTCTCAAACACAGTCTCTGTCTGTTTCCTCTAAAAATGGAAGGTACACTGATCCACACCCACACACGTTTTTATCCACAACCCTCCGACTCATGCAGGATATTTATGGAGGAGTGACTCAGTTGGCTGTTCAAATATTTAGGAGTGAAAGAATGTCTACAACTTTCAGAAGCTACACACACTTTGCAGTCGGAGGACAATAGGCTAACTCTTTGCAGATGTCTACTACTCTGCTGGACACAGAAAGATGTTTTCAACTAAAGTAGTGTCAAAACACAACTAACAGCCACCACCCCACACTGCCCGAGGCTTCTTCTTAATGGATAGTGGTCTCCCATGCATCCTTATTCTAGTAATCTATGACTCTGTTTACTCTCTGAAGATCATTGTTTCACTTCATCGTGTAGCAGTTATTGTTTTGGGCTGAATGAATGTTTGTTTAGCACAGACCAGAATGTGAATTTGATAGCAGAGCACATACATGACTGTTTCCTTTCTGTTCTTCCCTTCTCCTCTACTGTAGATGAGTCAGGCAGTGGTCAGCCAGAGGGGATGGACATGGTGGTGTGCAGAGCTCCTGGGGGGGAATTTTACGTGGAGGGGGAGACTTGGAACCTGGACGAGTGCACACGCTGCACCTGCAGGAAGGGACGTGTCCTGTGCGACACTGAAGTGTGTCCCCCAGCTCTCTGCCAGACACCAATCAGGAACAAGGACACCTGTTGCCACGTATGCCCAGGTAATTGGAAAAAGGCCAGGGTACAGTGAGGCAGGGGTAATTACGAAAAAAAACCCAAGGGGGTAGGGGGTCAGAGGTTTGGTTAGTGGAAAGAGAAGTATAAAGCTGTTTTGGATGTGCTATCAGCATGTGGTTTTGGAAGGTCTTGCATGTTGCACTCTGTCGGGCAGTTTTATGTCAGGCATACTCGTAAAGAAACCAGCCAAGACCGGTTGGGTTTACATAGCAATCCTCCAGGCAGGCACCAGCACAAGCGGACTGCTTTCACCCAGTGGCCCACACCGGAGGTTCATCCTAACTTTCTCATGGGCGGAAGTGCAAGAATGTAACTAATTTCGCTCAATCTGTGCTATTCCTACGATTATGGGAATAAAGTTTGACACAAACACAAAAACCACACGCATATTTTATTTATAAACTGTACCCAAACACTCAAGCCTCTCTTATACACTTAGAATCAACATATCCCAAGTATTCCCAAGCATGAGGCCCACAAATCAGCAATGCATGACTGCGCCTGAGAGCTGCTCCTTGAGAATGCTGGCCTGCCTTATCGCCGCATCTCCCTTCACAAAAGCAGATTGTCAGAGACCAGCCTTTGATATATGTATGGGCCTGGTCACCAGGAATGTGGGAATAATACACATCTCACTGACAGGCCCTGTGATGTATATGTACTGTAGGGTAGTGCAGGGTGCACATGCTAACTAAGTCTTTGGTCATGAGAAGGCCATAGATCTCAGGCCTGCAGGGGTATGATGAGACAGAGAGATAAGGAAGGCCAGACATCTGCCATATGGAGTCACTTGTGTTTGTGTTTAACATACAGTAAAGCATCTTATCTTTAAAGTAACCCTAAAGGCCCCATAATGTGTGTGAATTGAGATGTTATACTACAGGGACAAATGCAGGAGTTGTGTAGAAGCAGGCCTCGCCTCGTAGTTATATACAACTGAGACAAAATGAGGTTTTTATTTGAAAACAGCAATTCTCTACAAGCTAAATTTAAGCTCTAACATTACATTGCCAAGTCCTATTAAGTGACGGAAGAGGCTGGAACATTACCTAGCATACAGCCCCATGTCTTGCTTTAACCTTTGAGTATTTTCATCATTAACCCTACCTGTACCTGTGTGCCACCACAGACGAGTCGCTGAGCCCCTTGCTGCCAGTGAACACCAGCCAGCAGGAGTACTGCATAACCAACGATGGAGACGTGCTGCTGGCTGGAGACTCCTGGAAAGCCAATGCCTGCACCAGCTGCACCTGCAACAACGGCACCATTCAGTGTTTCTCTCAGCGCTGTCCGGCTGCCAACTGCAGGGTGCCCGTCTTACGTAAGGGCCAGTGCTGCCCACACTGTCTCGGTGAGTATTTAGGTGCGTCTTTGGCCTTTAGACAGAGCTTTGAGTACTTTTTAACGTACTAAAAATATTCTCAACTTTGAGTTTATACATTCTAAATGCGGTTTGTATTGCATACTAAAATTCAGTTTATGTATCACTTCCACAAACTGAGAACAAGAACAGAACTACCATCCTTTTTATAATAAGTAGTACCACTGGAACAAGGCACAGCCTGCTGCTGGGAAAGTTATAATTCATAATGCTTCATGTCAAAAAGAGGGCGTAACCAAGGGGGTTCCAGACTGAATGCGTGTGCATGTGTTTGTTTGTTAGGCATAGCCACTCTGGCGCTGCATAGGCAAACATGACCACTCGCAACAACATTCCATGTGACATACACACACGGCCCGCTCAGAGCAAAAACATTCCTCGAGCATCCGCACATTCACACGTGTTTCCTGTCCCCGGCCCGCAACACTCTCTCTGTGGCGGCACAGGAAGGCAAAGCTCCATGTCAGCTTTTCCTATAGAGGAAAACCTCAGCATAGGCTCCCATTGTTCACCCTGATACGTAGCCGTTTTGCTGGGCCTTTGTTTTTGTTATTTGCCCGGTGGGAAACAGAGCTTTTTACGTAATGCCTTTACAAAGCGGTACAGTGGAAGTTAAGAGGACAGTTTCTATAAACACAGCTTATCAATTGAGACACCAGGGAGTTCATACACTAGCTCACAGTTAGAAATGTTTATGTCCCGAATGTTTGCATTACATCAGTGGTGTTGGTAATGGATCTTATTCCTTTGTCTGAGCAGAAATTACAACGTCGGTGCCGGTGATGGTGTCTACCAACGCCCCCAAGACAGCAGTCACTGTTACAGTGGAGAGCGCAGTGTGGATCACCACTGCCACTGTACCACCCATCATTGCTGATATAGGTAGCTGCTCATTACATCATCTCTCCACACACCCCTTTAAATCCCCTTAATACACTGTGTAGTAGTAACCCCATCCTAGTTATTGGCATTACTGCGTGTACTCCCTGCCAATCTCTGTGAATGTTTATTCTAATGGAGGTTGTTTTAGTTGCCTTGATAAATGAGTGACTGGTATACTAACTCATGCTGAACTAAACAATAATGATAAATGGATACTGACACATCATCTGTCTTGAGACACCCAGCGTTCAGTGTGAAGTACTCAGCCGGGATATCGTCCAAAAGCAGACAAATAAGCTGTTTTCAATTTAGATTCGGTAATTTGAATGGGTTTAGCAATGAAAGAGCTTTCTGTGGGACTGATATCTGATATCACTTTTGTCTGCGTGCCACAGATGAGCCAGGTTTGGGTGAGAATTACCCCAGCCAAACAGAGATGGCCCTTATCTACCAATCGGCAGCCTGGATCCTGGCGGGTCTCCTGCTGGCCATCATCATCTTCCTTATTGTGGCGTTACTCATCAACAAGAAAAAGAAGTGGGTGCAGATGTCCTGCTACAGTGCACCAAAGAAGGTGAGAAGTTATCTGTAAATCGCATAAATCTGCTCATTGCTTTGAACCACTGGTTCGAAATGATCCTTGATCTTCCAGCTTCTGCTACAACCAGTGCTAAAGCTGTCATGACGTCAGGATTAATATAGTTTCCCCTTGCCCTGCACTTTCAACTGGAACAAGGTCACATCCATCCTAAAATGTACCATGAAATTAGATTGTGGTGTCAGATAATCTGAATTTGTCGGAGTATTATTGGAAGCTGTCTGTTTTAGATTTAAGTGCAAGATAACATAAATGAATAAGCTTTACCTTTCATCACAAATCACGTAGCTGTCGAGACCTGAATTATAGATTCAATCTAACAATAAAGGATTATGTTGTTTTTTTCCCCTTTTCCTGGTTAGACGGTGATCCTGAAGAAGCATGTAAACAAGAACTCGGTGGTCTACATGGAGCCCTCCAAGGAGAACAAATTTCAGAATGTGAAGAACGACTGCGGCATCATCCATTTCTCTTCAGAAATGAGCTCTCCCTGTGCGGACAAGATGACCATCCCCAGAGCCAAGCTGAGCATGGGCAACGACTGGACGCCGCGCTAAAAAACCCCACCACCGCTCAATCCCTGCAGATCAGAGCTATCCGACACCTCCCACTCTCTCTTACTGCTGTATCCAAGGTGATTAGTGCAACAGTGCACACACACACACACCTTGGGCGCCGCCTTGTTCCCACCCTTCTCTCTCTGTGTGACTGTAAAACTGAGGATGCTCTACGAGAGACAAAGCAAGCAACCTCTGTTTCTTTTATTATGTGTCCTTATTTTTCTGTGTTTGGGTCTTTGGGTGGAGTGAGACGTTGGGAGGTGGATGGACACATGAACATACAAAGGACACATCCACTCTGGGCTCTGCTTTAAAACAGAGAAGGAGGCAGCCAGAGAGGCTCCTCTGTCAGAATCAGACTTTGACTGTGAACATTGTAATATAATTGCTTATTTATTGCCTCCTTTTGAAACTGGAATTTTGAGGCAATATGAGGAGCATAAAAAGCTTTAGGACAGGGGTTTGGGCTGTAGTTTAAAGGGGGTATGGAGGATGATGCCCTCCCGAGTTCAGCAGTGCTTCATGGATGTAATCATTTTGATCAGCAGGGAGGCCAAAGGAACTGATAATCCAGTTGGATCACATTGGGTTCAGCAGCCAAATCATAATCACCAGGCTTTATATAGACCCCCAGATCCAAACCCCTGCTTTAGAATGTGTGGTTTCCATCTTAGTTTTTGTATATTTCTACAGTATTTGTACTTGTTGTAGTGTTGTTCTTGGCCACCTCTTGTTTTTATTATGGGTGTCTCCGTGGGGCCAGATTGAAACATTTTTGAAAATGCCAGTCCAAACATTCCCCCCGATCAAGTTCAGGAAGGACATGCTTCCCAAATAATAGCCTTGTTCCTACCTTCAAATGACCCGAGCCATTCCATTCAGAGAACTCCCAACAACAAACTGTAATTCTACCAAATGAAATATGTGAAGTCCTTCTCTGAACGTACCCACGATACAGTAGGCCACAGCCTTATTCATCGTCCGACCTCGGCTCTTCCAGAAGGAATCAGTCGTACTTAATCATCTCAAAAATTGCAGAGATGAAGTTGAAGCGCAGTGATGTTCATCCAGGAAGAATGTCATTTTATGGACTGCAGCGGAGACAAAATGGTGCCAGACTCTTCATCTGGACCTGTGAGGAATGTCTTTGATACCATGCCTCACTTCATAACTTCATTCACAGCTGTGTGTGTGTGTGTATGTATGTGTGCTTGTGGAGCTACTGTTCACACCGAATGTTAGCAATGGTTAGTTATGATTCATTTTAAAGCCTTAATTCTATAGCCTTAATGTATTTTCTTTGTTGATATCTTGTTTTCATTTAATAACTGTGTAAGCTCATATCAAGCAATCTAAAAACAGTAATATATTCACCCAATGTTAAAATGAACAGATTGTGTTGTACAGCGTCACTGATGGTTCTCATCATATACAAGTGAATTATGTGATGCAAAGACAGAGTGTAAGGGGAGCTTGCTAGTAACTGTACATAATGGTACACGTTACAAAAATCAGAGCATGTTAAAGAGACGTAGCACTTTTCTTTGGAGCCAGTGGTTGTTTTTAAAAAAAAACTCACTGCAGGATTCTTGGAGGGATAAAGGCCCTAATCGGGGATTTGATAGGCATATTAAGCTCACGGAGATGTTAAACCACTCAAGTGAACACGCTGTTGCAGCTAGAGGCTTCGTACCAATCTGATCAGCACAGAGGACAGAATCTGAAAAAGCGTTACGCAACAAACTGGGGTTTCATAGGAAAAGGTTTTGGATCATAGTTCTCAATCCATTGCCAGTTTCTCAATACAAAGACCATTCTGATGCCAAAATTGGTTGGAGACCAATTTATATTGAAGTGTTTTAGTAACTCGGTAGATTTGTGTCTGTTTGAATCATGACCATGTGCTTTAAAATGAAGAGGCGACTGTAAAAGCTTACACAATTCTTTGTTCTTCTATGTGTAAAAAAAAAAAGTAGTTTAAATTAGTAGGACAGAAGAGTACCTTATTTATTTTTTCACATAGCTTTATTTATTAATACTATAGTTTGAGATTTTTTTTGAAAAATGAACTTTTGGTAGCCAAAGCTGCTGTACATTGTAGACTATTTACCATTTCTATCTGCTATATTCTACACAACCTTATTTATTTCACTGTTGCAAACCCTGTAAATATGTTTCCTAGATGATGAACTGTAACATTTACACTTATTTTGAAAAATAAACGTGTGAACCAAAGTGGCCCGCACTGATGATATTTAAACTGGGTTGGAGGAACAATTCCCTAAAGTGCAGTGATGTCATCCATGATGGTATCTGTTAGTGGTTTTTACTTCACTCGCAGAATTGCAGGCTCATGCACATCTGGTCCTGGAGTTCTGCTCCAAATGGGGAATTTGTCTTCTCTTGGTTGCTTCAAATCTTGTTGTTTTCCCCGTGCTCACTGAAGTTGTTCTCTTATGTCAGTAGCACTTGCAGATGTGTTAAGTGGTGATACTGAAGGTTGTTTCTGATGGGGGGTCCTCTGAGATTTAAGTACTGGCGAAGAGCAAGTAGACCTCTCATCTAGCCAGTGGGCTAATAAAACACTGAAAAACACAAAGATGTGCAGGACAGACTTGGAAACCTGGATAATCCTGAGTTCAGACTAGGCTGTTGTTTTGACTTGTCCGTCAAAGCTTGCTCATAAACTTCAAGGTGAGGAAGATTCTCCGGAAGGATCTTAAAGTAAACATTAGGGTCAGTTTCCCAGGCATTGAATACGTCGAATACTGCTACACAAAGCCTTTAGACAATCAAAAACACTCCTATTTGATTTAAGATATTTTTATAACTCCCCAAACATTCCCAACTTCTGTCTGGATTACCTGGATTCATAAGTATCAGTTACGTAAGGATAAGCATTATCTTATGAGTGAATGCTCAATATCAAGATTGGGTCTTAAGGCTGCAAATGGATGTGTGTTATACTCACATGTACACTTACAAACAGGCACAAAAATCACAGCTCTGTGTGGGAAAAAGTAATTTATTTCTACTATCAATTCTGTTGCTAATAAGAAAATGTTGTATTTATGACACATGATATTCAGTAAAAAAAACCCTCTCAAGCTTCTATTGTTCTATTAAGGCAATAAAGTCCAGTGAACCTCTTGTCCACATATGTCTGAGAAAGACTACAAAACACTGGATGGTGTTGGGAAAGTTATGGATTTTGGGTCAAATAGAGTTACCATTCAACATGGTTAAAAAAAGAAAATCACTTGTGTCTTTTTGGGCTCTCGCTTTCCAAATGGAAAAGGTATGTATCTGACAATCTTTAAACAGATTCTGTAGGTCCCAGGATGCAAAATAGTCTCTGGGAGTCCATGGAGCCTCAAGCCAAGCGGGACATCTCAAACGTCAGTGGGAGTGCTTGGTTTCAGAGAAGGATCTTATAGTAGTCGTCCTTGTAGCTGTACAAGACCACCACCGCCACCCTGCAAGAGGACAACATCTTTCAGTTATAAGATTCAAAAGAATATTAAAAACATTGTGGAGAACTTCCAAATAGAATATCTCAAAATCAGGACAATGAAATTCAGTCCATGTCCATGTCCAGGGTAATAAAGTCGCATTACTAAGTGGAGAAATTGACATCTTAACTTTCGATTTAGCGCCATCATCAGGTCAAGATTTCAATTTGTCCAACACTTTGGTTTATGATCAAATACCTGCTGAACAAAAGACATTCCTGTCAGCCTCACCTATACTTTACTTGGTGCAAATCTCTGCATGCTAGCATGCTAAACTAAGGTGGTGAATGTGGTAAACACTGTACCCGCTTAACATCAACATTGTCACTGTGAGCATGTTAGCATGCTGATGTTAACGTTAAGCTCAAATCACCACTGTGCTAGAGTACATCCTCACAGAGCTGCTGGTATGGCTATAAACTAAACATGCATTGGACATAAAGGCCGTACATGCAGGTCTTGCCCACAGTAGTTTTTGAAAGTAAATCTGTGTAACTGCAACTGGAATAGGTTTAGTTTATGGTCTTGTTGCAGCCAGGTGACTGCATGAGCCCTTTAACCCACTCATCTGGCCTCAGTTGCCTGTGCCCCACATTCGAGGAACACAACTAAACAAACACATAAAAACACATGCTGAATATATCCATTGTTGCCGTGATGCTCATTTATCAGCAGAGACTTTTCCCCCTAAATGGCAAATCAAACACACAGCCGAGACAGGAAATTAAAACCAACTGCTCTGGAGAGGCGGACGAGAAGCCAGAAAGAGAGGCTTTGATTTTTTTTTGTTACCATCTCATTCATGAAAGAGAAAATCCGCTGAATCCCTCACAGGGTTGCTCTCTATGGGCATTCACAAGCGTCACAACACTAGAAGCTCAAACACAGGATTTAGCGTGGGCTTTGAAAAAAACGTTCTGCTGGGAAGCTTGGGAATATTAACCGCTCCATCCCCAACTACAGTAATAGATGAAGCTAACCCGCCCCCCTGCACTGCATTCTCAGTGTCAATCAACTTGAGTGTTAAGAGACAGACATCAGAAGACCAAACAAGGCTAATCCTTCTCCAGATTTCACCTCAGGAAATGGGATCAGCTCAGGATTTGAAGTTCTGCAAGGCAGTAGTTATCTGTCTAACAGCTCTCTTTGAAGGACTGACTGTCACTGTTACACCTGGAGTGTGTGGGCTTGGTCGGAGCTTTGGAGTGGCAGCTGCCCGTAAAAGGAAGTCTGTCTCTTTTTTTTCTGCTGCCTTTTTTTAAGTGGTCTTTTATGTATTCCAGTGTTTGCCTCAGGTTTCATTTTAATAAAAATAACAAGTCAGTAGTGGATGGAAACATGTGGGAGCGAGCAGAGAGGCGAGGCTGTGGGGTCTCTGGTTCATCTTCCACAAGGGCTCCTGCTGAGACTAGACGTCTACTGTTTGTTCGGAAAATGTCTATACAGTATCAAGTTCCTGCTGTTTCTTTTCTTTTGAGGACGAAAGATTTTAATGAAAAACATTTTGACACTTAAAACACTGCTGTGCATGAAAAAATTCAGTTGTGATTCTTGTCCTTTCTTTTATTCAAATATGTTCTGCATCCCTTAAGATCTTTTCTAATTACCAGATTTTTCCACATTCATTTAAGTATTATTTATCCACTCAAATATATGCTTTTAATTCATTAAAATACCATATCCGGAGGAGAACAGCTGGTGACACAGCTAGGCCTGGCAGGAAAAACATCAGCTAGATCCACAACAATGAATTTTTCTTTGATGATAACAACACAAGGAAGTCAACAGTGCAAGACCGCACAGTCGCACACAACGCACCTTTTCGTAATTTTGAAATGATGGATCTCGTCGCAGATAGACTTCAGGTAGCGCTGTTTGGGGAGACGAGACAGCAGAGTCTTCACACTGCTGTTGAACTGGTCTTCGCTATCAAACTGCAAAGAAAGAGAAAGAGCGGGGCTTAAAGCAACAACATGGGACAGAGTGAGGGCTAGGTGACAAAATGTTACATGCAAGATGGAGACAGTTCGCAGACATCAAACAGTTTTACAGTCAATAATGATAGGAACTGTCCAAAACAACATAATTTTCTTCTTATCTGTTTACAGAAAAGTAGCATTTTAGAGGAGAAAATTGGGTTTTTCATCTGCAGCCTCTGAGTATATTTTTGCATGTCAAGTGTAGCAGGGCAGTGAAGGTACAAAGGAACACTGGGTTTATAGAGTTCCTTGGTTCCTTGTGTGACTTTTGGGTAATTTGACATATTTAAAACAGGCCTTTCCTGCACGCCTGGCTATACACACCGTGTATTGTCATGCCTTTTATATACTAAATGTGTTTTCTTTGACACATGTGCTGTGAGGGGCCGACTGTATAGGTGGCCCATTCATTTATGGAGTCTGGGCTTTTGCTTATATAACTGTGGTGCATTTTTCTTCATGTTTCTTCACACAATATAATTAGTCTTTTTTTAAACCTCTGCTATTAGGAACCAAGGGTTTTATGAGTGCAGTCGTGGTCAGGAGTTTGGAATGCGAATATTAACACCTCTCAAGTATGCGTTTTGTTAACTGTAGTATGTGTCTGTCCCATAAGAGAAAACAAGTTAGACTCTTTAGCAGATCTCCCTGGCCAGGGGTGTTCCCTCTCTCTAGGACAATAATGTAAGGAAAGAGACGGGATCCCCTCTTCCTGTCTAGGATGTTGACCTCTATTGGCTGTTCTTTCCACTTCCCCTATCCTCCCACCCTTACACAGGAAGTAGTCTTTTATTAACTCTGCAACAGTCTTGGTGAAGCCAATATGGAACCAACCTCCAATGACAGGAAGTTGATCAGCGTTTCCTTCTGCAGGTCCACCTGTGAGATACAAAACAAGCAGGCTTACACAAAAACACAATGGAGCCTTTTTCTCATGTTGCAACAATCCCACAAACACAGAGAACCCCACAAATTATATTTTCTGACTGGAAGTGGCCACATGTTCTTCCAAACGCTGCATTCGTAATGGAGCTAAAAATATCAAGAATTGCGCCCACAGCCCAATAGGTTGTGTAATTCTTTCAACACAAGATAATCCAGTTCACTCCAACATCAGTAAATTACTTATAATTCCACTTTCACAATGCTCTAACCAGGCCTGAAAGCACTCCATGTCCCTTTTACAGGAAGGGGCTAATGGCCTCCTGGGTTTATCATTGGAAAATGAGCACTTGCTGTGTTCCAGTCTGACTGACAGACAAGCAGGCTGCTGACATACAGCAACCAAGACTTATAGACCAGTGCAACTGCTTACCAAATCAAGGTGATTATGCTTGTTATGTTTCAATAACTTGTATTTACTGTTGCTTCGCTGATGCAATCCAGACCCCAACATGGATGACAAATGTATTTGGAATATGCCGCGACATGTTAAAATAAGACAAGCAGGGCTGATTTACTTTGAGAATATCTGGCCATAAATCTACGACGCAACCACAAATAAACTCAATATGGCAGCCATTTACATCCCACGAAATGACACGCTTGCTGCCTTCTGTTTAGTGTTCATTGTTTTGTAGCGACTGGAATGAATTCACAGCCATCTTACCTCCAGCAGGGGATTTTAGCACAAGGCGAATAACTATAAAAGGTCTGCTCCCAGTGATGTTTGCTGTTTTAGCTATCAAATGCGCTTTGCTCGCTCTGTGATTTCACACATGAATACAAGAGATAAGGTGGGA